TTGATGTCCCAATATTTCTGGACCTGACTGTATGCAGCTGAACAAGAAATCAGTTGGCTCAGCCGCAGAAAGTGATGATGGCATGAGATCACGTAGCTCTGGGCTGCATAAAGGGATCCTGCATGAAGTGAATCTACAGTAAAGAGTCAGTACAGCTTCCAATATTTGCTTTAAAGTAGAAGATGTCCCTAGCATGAGATCCCGTAGCTCTGAACCGATTCTGGAGGGGTGCAAAGGCCCCTTATGGAAAAACCCTCAGTTGTGATCTATAAAATGGACCCAACAGAGGTAAATATATTCAGCTTTACAAAGATGAAGTAAGAATGGCTAGAATGTAGAATGGCTAGAAAGTATAGTGGAGAAAATGAATCTAACAAACAAAATGGAGGTTGCACCCTTTTCCTCCCTGTCGTCTTTGCCTAATCCCATCAGACCAAATTGGCCCTCCCTGCTCCCAGACAAGGCCTTCTGCAATCCCATCTAAACCAAAGAATAGAAGCCGCCTCACCAGCTGGCAGCACAGCCCAAGGGCAGCCCTAACAAAGGAATTGCAACAAAGAGAAACCTCCCATCCTCTATCAGCTGATGACCTCCAGATTCCATCTCCTTTTGCCTAACAATAGAGCGAACCCCAGGTACACTGATAAGGACCTGCCCAGCATCCCCATGCTGGCCAGCAAATCAGGCTCCTAGGATGTCCTGCCTTGTAGCCCCCAACTTCTATAAAAATCTTTGCTTTCCCATTGTTTGGACTTCCTCTTTCTAGTAAAGCAGGCACCCACTGTTGGTTCCTCTCCTCAGCCTTGTGCTTCTTCCTCAGATGGGATCCATGACAAAAGGTATTTTTAAAAAGGAAACACTTGGTTACATAATCATATGTATATTTCTCATACTATCATATATAAAAGTGTACTATATCACTGTACTGAAAAAGTGGCAGGAGGTTTTGTCAAAAAACAGAAAAACAGGCCCCAGTTCTACCCAATTCTGGTCTCCCATCCCCACCTTAAGATATTGATCCAGTCTTTTTCTTCTCATTTTGTAGATTTAATAGCAAAAGGATATGTTGCAACTAACCACCTTCAAATTTCATAATGTCTGCTGTTCTGAAGCGGTTGTATTACATTGGATTCCATGTCCCTCAGGGTCAACAGCTGGCCAATCATCTGGTGCAGAAGTTTGGCTTTGAGCTCTTTGCTACACGGGAAGCGGAGTGGAAGAGGCAGCAGGCTTTCCGAAGAGGAGATGCTGTTTTTGTTGTCAATGAAAAGCGGGAGCCAACAGGGAGAAAATTTTTGCCTTCAGACTACTCCAAGCATAAAGGGATTCTGTATGATGTGAACCTGCAGTACAGAGTTAGTACAGCTTCCAATATTTGCTTTGAGGTAGAGGATGTCCCTGGCATCTCCCAAAATCTACTGGAGAAAGGCTGTGAGATCCTTATCCCTCCAACTACTGAAGCAGATGAAAATGGCTTTGTTACTTTCTCGGTAGTGAGATCCATTGTTGGCAATGTCAGCCATACTCTTCTTGACCGATCCCAGTATTGTGGGCCATTCTTGCCTGGTTTCTGTGAAGTTGCCCCCAAGAAATTCCAGAAGGAGAGGGAGACGACACATTTTGACCACATCACGTATGCCTGTCCCCAAGGTAGTTCACAAGCTGTGCTGGACTGGTACAGAAACTGTTTCAGTTTCCAGCGCTTCTTCATCCACCAGCAAGATGATGCTGTAGAAGGCTATCGAATTCAAGGGGCAGAGGTGGGCCTTCGTCTTACTGCCATGCAGTACATTGATCATGGCTTGTCACTGTTTGAGCATGATTGTAAATTTGTTCTGGCTGAGTCACTGCCAAAGCAAAAGAGGAACCAGGTGGACACTTTCTTACAGGAGCATGATGGAGCTGGTATCCAGCATGTGGCCCTTTATACCACAGACATTGTAGGTACTGCTGCAGCCATGGCAAAGTCAGGAGTAAACTTTTTCAAACCACCATTATCATATTACAGTGAGAAAAGCAAAGAAGAGGAGATAGAGCAAGTTGGGCAAGATCTTCAGCTCCTGAAAGACTATGGAATCCTTCTTGATGCGAAAATAGGCGACAAAGGACAGACTAGTCCTGGCATGTTTGAGAAGCAATACCTGATGCAGATCTTCACTAAACCGCTTTTTACAGAAGAAACTTTCTTCATAGAGCTCATTGAGCGATGTGGGGCTACAAGTTTTGGTGAGGGAAACATCCGTGCTCTTTGGAAGTCTGTACAGAATTATATGGATCAGCAGTAAAGACCCACTCTACTTCCTTAAGAATGAAGCATGACAAAATGTACATTATAACTAAATGATATAGGTGCTACTTCAAATCTGTTCACACAGTATTAAGCCCATGTGACTGATCTGGTTCAAGATGTACTTTCAAAATTGACTTTGCACTGCCAATGCTGGCTTGGATTAAAAAGTATCCAAGTGATGTGGAAGCCATCTAATTAGAATGTCTGATGAGAATTGAAACCTGACCATATTTGTGACAGCAACCACACCTGAAAGCATGCAGGTTTTTGCCTTGCTAGCTGAACTACTGTACTAGTAATTGATTTTTCTTTAATGAAACACAAAAGCCTGAGGGTATGGCTGATATATCTTCTTTAGAGAGAGAGAAATGCTCTCTATATTAGAATAAGTTACCGTTATCTGCAAAACACCCACATTCTTTGGGGACCAGGGAGGGCAAATCTGAAAAGATGCATGATTCCTGTTGCTTAGCTACAGTACACTAAGTGAAGCAAGTTACCAAGCCAGGTAACGAAACGTCTGAATGAAAACAACCAAGCTCTGAGGACACCAAGAATCCAAGAGCAAACTCCTGAGCTACATATTCTCTACTATTGGAAGAAAATTAGTTCTCCCTGTTTTTACCTACTTGCACTCCACCAAAGTTGATGTTAACTGGACAAACAGGAGGCAGGGGCATTTGTTAGCCATTCCCACTTGAATCACGGCAGCTTCTAATTACCAGAGCAAGAAACCAGAGAGAATCTTTTGGTTGCATGGATCCAAGCAGCTATACAGATGGAATGTAGCTGTTAGGCTATGTGAAAGTTTACACCCCTATAAAGTGGAAAGAACCAGACTTAATCTTTATTCAATATGAAGAAGAGTAAATAAATGTTGTGATTCTCAAAACATATTGCTAATACATATCTTAAGATACGTTCAAAATTTGGCCTGTAGAAGGGCCTTTTCTTGAGTGTCCATTGAATGTGAAGAGATTCACTCAATTCGTCTCTTTAGATGTTACTGAAAAGTATTCATGTTTTAATTTATTTAGTAGTTATTTCTATTCATGAAGCATCGCATCCACTTGCTGTTATTGAACGCTACAGCTAGAATGGTGGTGGTGAAGTGGCAACTGCTCTTCCTGCACATTCTCCTGCTCACAAATATCTACCATAGCTGTTTCTTGTCCAAGTATGGTTTTATTTGTTGGACGCTTCTTGAATATATTGCCTTGAGTAGCACAATCATGCTTCTCCTTGCTAGAACAAGTGAGACAAATCACCTTAAAACACAGAAAAGGGCTTATCTTAATTTGCATGTGAACACAAAAAAGGCTTTCACAAATTTTAGCCAGCCTTTTCAAACATGTATGTGAACAGTTGGCATTTAGGTGGTTAAACTTTTCTTCGTCTTCAAAAATACCTTCTATGTACCCCAAGGCTTGCTGAATAGTAGCTGTGCTCATGAGATGTAATGTAAGCATTCTTAGATGTATTGCTCTTTTAGCACTGGATATGTTAGTTCAAAAGAACAACTTTTTAGTGAACATTCTCAATTGCTATAACTATGGTAACCTTGAATCTAGAACATATTTTCAAGCTAAATACTTTATCCTCTTTCAATTTAAATTTATAATATATTACAAATTGACTTGAATTCATTGGAAATCATTGCACATAAAGTTCATCTTTCCAAAAACTCTCAAACTGAAATGGAAATAAAGGTCTTGCTTTAGGCATCGTATAACAAAAAAGCTTTGTTTTATTTGTCTCTTTGCTATGAAATTGACCTTTTTGAATGTCCTGTTTCTTTAACTTGGGGATTTGATGGTATGATTTTACAAACAGGACTAGAATGTGAAACCTAGCATTCCAGTATCATGCTTTGGAAATGCTTTAAATGGAGTAGTTTGGCACACATTATTAAGCCACCCGCCCTCTTTAATTCTAAGAGTGGGATAGAGAACAGAAACTCACTTTGTATGAAATGATACTACCAATAGTGAAAATAGAATGAAGACCTCCAAAATATTCTACCTTTGAATAAAAAAAAAAAAAGTTTCTAGATGGCTTCAGATTTTGATGGAACTTTTATTATAGAAAGCACTAAGATTTTTTTTTTTTTTTTTGCTAATGCTAGTACATTGCATCTTAATTTAAGAATCAGGGGGATAAATTCACTTTTCAACACTTTAATTCATTCAGTCAGTTCTGGGGAAACAGCTAAAAATGGATTATCACCAGTACTTTTTAAATAAACTTTCATTAATATTTTATTAGTAAAGCCACAGTTAAAAGAGGACATTTTAAGCATTAAAATAGTTGATCATACAGGAAAACTGATACACAATACAGTAGTAACATGTAGGCAAGCAATGATTATTCAGTTACCCGTTCCCAAAAGAAACTAGCTCTAAAAAATACCCCTTATCCTGCTTTTGCCACATTTCTTTCAAAGTGTCGTATCATAAAAAAACCCTGCTAGTTGGTATCTGCCTCATTGGCACAACTGTAGCTGCAACTCAAATTGTGGTCACGCATACAATGTTCAAAGCAGTGCTTATTTAATAAGGCATTTAGAAAATGGGTAGAAAACAACAGGATATGTTCCGCAGCATTATGCTCTAGTACCTCACGCTACCCAGACTGGGCAGACACATCTCATTTCACGGCTAGAGGGCTGTTTTGCAGGGCTCCCAGGCCCTTCAAAAGAGGATTGGCTCAGATTTCAAAATACTGTACTAGATTATTGGGAGTGCAAAGATGTGCACTTTCCCCCATGTTTTTTCTATACTCTGCCTGAAATTGCAGTCAGTTGTTGAGATCAGCTCTAAGAAATGAGTGCAAAGTAAGCAGCTTCTTGGAACAACTATTCTGTTCTTCAGGCTTTAATTGGCTGGTACCCAGAAAGTCCCGTTTCTTCTTCTTCACAACCTGTACAATGATACAGAGGTATAGATATAATAGAGAAGACCCTGCAACAGTCACATATTTCATCCTCTCCCACCTGACCCTGTAAGCACTATTGTGACTAGGTTATAAAATTGGCCAACCACAAGTCAATCACTTCTGACTAATTTTGGGACTTAATTTGAAAGCAGAAGAGAGGCAAGAGACTAAAAATATTTATGAAGCTAAACAAGGCATTAGCAAAAGCTGCTTGGTTCTCTGAAAAGATAAACTCACCTGGGCATCACTGATTCTACAGGTCCATTTTTCATAAACTTTGAAGACCTGAAAAAGAACACAGAAACTATATACTCACATAGTTCTAGGACCATTTTTAATGCGGATAATGTATGGTAATGCTCAGCCTACATATAGGAGGACTAAAAAGGTGATGGGAGCTAAGAGCAAGTTCTGTCCCCAGCCACCCTGTACATCTGGTTCCATTTTGTAGATGCTCTTATATTGTGCATGAGTATGTTGAGAAATCAGTTAAATGTTTGCAAATGTATCCATGATTATAAACCTTGATATACCTACACACATACTTATCAACTCTACTGCAGAACTTAGAGACACCTACGTGGCCCCAAGTTGTTATGCTGAGAGGCTGCGTGTCTGCACAGAGTTGGTTCTAATTCCATTGAGGGGTAGGGAGACAGGATGGCTTCTGTTTCTCTGCACTGAAGTTTGTAACTACCAACATTCCCTGGAAGCACATTGTTTGAACAATGAAGCAAATGGCATTCATGTGAAACGAAAAGTTGCAATTTCCAAGTCTACCCTCTGCCATGGAACCTCACTGGGTGTCTCTGAGCCAATCAATATCTCAAGGGAGGATGTTGGGATGGAAAAAAATGGGCAACTGATTGCTATGTAAGCTGCTGTGTATTCCTAGAAGAAAGGCAAGATACAAGTATAACAAATTTATCTACATATTGATTCATCACATACAACTTTTTAGAGAAATGCAAAGCATCCACTGTGAAAGTGTTTGAATGTCAGATTTTCAGTACCTTTTTCATAGCTGTGGAGATGGCTGATATCTGGAATTCTGTTTTGGTCACCCATCGGGATGCTGGCAGCTCCACATTCCTATTCCAATTTTCCTCATACTTGTCCAGATTCAAAAAATAGATCATATATGTTTGGCGGATGTGGGAGAAGATATGGAGAACCTGGGGCGGGGGAGAGGTAGATATGTGGATGGGTGCTGTGACTCAATATCATCATGTCCCTTAGGCAGAAGGGAGAAACAGTCCCTTGGGCGGGAAGATACTGAACAGTAGAGAGAGAAGCTAAATGCCCCACTTTTGACAGAGAGGGATCTCTGGAGTTCTCCTTTCTAACCTTTACTTTTCACTGCTTTGAGACAAGGAGCTGCAGGAATATGACCAGCCTGGATTTAGGAGCAAAGATATGGAAGAAAAAAATGGAATATGCTGCTGCATGGAACCATGCTTTATAACAGTTTGAATAATGGCTAAAATTGAAATTAAGATCAATACTTTTTTACAGTGCAAGTTTTTTAAAGGCTTAATCCCTGATAAATTCCGATGCACACATTTCTGGGGAAACTAATTTCATTGCTAGTTATCTACTTGCAACCTTGGCCAATTTCAACACCAAGCAACCATTTCCCAAAAGTAGTGTATTCAACTTGGCTCCATGCAGCTGCTCTAAAGCTGTACTATAATGGTAAACAGCAATAGAGCTTCTAATGATAATGCTATCTCAAAGTGAACTGGGCTGGAAGATCCAAGGAACAGCAAAAACATGGGAGAAACTTTTTGGAAAACTGGTTAACAATGGCTGAATTACCATAATACAAGAATTACCATAATACAAGAATTACCGATTCTTATCTGGAATCCAATTTACCTCTCCAACATACTGTAGTTGCCTCACTGCCAAGTCATTGCGAACCCAGGCTTGGAGGTGATCTGCTAGGATCACTTTCTGTTGCTTTTTCTGCCTTTGCTCAAGAAGGATGCTAGGAAACTCCCACAGTCCAGCTAGCAGACCTACAAGAAAATGTCTAATCATCAGTGCAATGCAGCACAATAGTTACAAGCGTGAACTTGAACTCTCTGCTTCAAAAAAGGCTATTGAAATGCTGCATACTTTCAGCTAAAAATGTTATTTCTACAATAACTGTGTAAGGAATGAGTACTCTCTGCTTAAGGCAGTCTTTCCTTCACATAGGTCAAGCAATTTAATAGACTTTGTTATTTCAAATGCACATGGTCTTCTCAATGAGAATGTAAAAAACATGGCATTAATCAAAAGGGTGCTTGGGCCCACACTACTGGATAGTACTGGAATGGACCCACAAATAAATAGGCTCTAAGTTCAGAACTATATATGCTAAGTTCAGAAGTTTGCAGTCTCTTGTTCAAAGTTACCAGATAAAACTGGCTTCCTTATCTCTCACAGAGACAATCCTTCCTTGTAATTTGTTCTTTCTGGAAAAATAGACAAAAAGATACTTCATGATCACGATCCAAATTTCTATAATTGCTAGAGTACTAGAGCTGGAGAAGTAACATTAGTTGACAATGCCTAGCCTTCCTTGATCTTTTCCTGAGTTGGTTACCTGAGCTGGGTCTCCTTACAAGAAGATACTCTGGATTCCCATCACTGCATCTCCTCTGTAGCACGCATGTGGCCGTGTGCTCTATTCTGGGCTGCTTCTTGGTCATTTTCCTTGGGAAATTAGCTACACCAAGGCTGGGCTCCCATGGTACTGAAGGAGACAGGCAGAGGGAACAGCTTCCTGGGACAGCAGCTGAAAATGAGAAGGAAGCAGTGCTGAAATGCTGACCGTAGCAGGAGTAGTGCTTCCCTACAATCTATCTTTGTGGACATCTAGGACAGGAAGGCTCAGCGTGGCAACATGAACCACAGTTCCTCTGACTCTGCCCATCCCACAGTGACAAAGCTCAACCAACCTCCAACGCTTCCTTCCCAATGAAGCCTTGAAACCTAAATCTAAATGAATTTTTGAAGCAATCTAATCTCACTGCTTTATTCGCTGGAACATAAATAACAGCTCATGGTCAAAATGTTCAGGTAAGAACACCTGCTTCTTCCTATACATTTGGGATGTCGACAATATTTTTTTAAAAAAAATTATGCTGCCTCCTGAACTGAAGCCTTAATTAAAAAATGATTCATACTGATTCAAAATATTAAATGCAAAAAACTAAGGACAAACAATAAAAGATAATGTAATCGAATAACAGAAAACATTTAAAATAGCAGTAATAAAAGTATATAATAAACATTACATGAGGATGTTATTTTTGTATCCATTTGCCATGACTTCCAGATCCAATGGATTATTACATTAAAAAATGAAAGCTGAATGTCATCTGCAGCAAAGACATCTTGGTGTAAAGATGCAAAATTTCCAAAAGGGTAGCAGTGAAACCTTCAAGACTAATTTTATTATATAAGCTTTTGTGGATCACAGTCCATTTAATCAGATATACAGATATGGCAACGAGAAATTATTGTATTTTAGATAAAGCTATAGAGCAGAGGAAGACAAGGGAAAATAGGAATGGAGAATAGCGAGGGCAGAATTACTTGAGAGAGAGCTTACAATAATTTTCAGGGAAATAGCTGTGATTTATGTATCAAATTATAATATAATTTATTTCCAAACATAGTATAATTTCTTTCACATTTTAATTTTTATATATCATTTAAAAAGAAAACTATTATAAAATAGTTCAAAACCAGTTTT